TGCCACTCAAACTGGCTGTCTCGATATACCCGTGCCACTGTTTCAATCTTCTCGGACGTCAATCCGATATTCTTCAGTCGTGTCGAAGGGACGTGTAAATTTATAACTTGCATAACGTTTCTCTCTTTCTTTTGCGCGGAAATCAATTTTTGCAACATCGGGAAATGGAATAACGTCGAAATAAGGAAACGAAGTAAGTGATTTATCGTAAGTCGATTTTAAGATAATAACTTGGGGCGATTCTTAGATTAAACGAGTGGACGATTGATCGCGAGCTGATGAAAATGTAGATTAATAAAAGTGTTTTGATCTGGAAGAGACGAGAAATTCGAAATTAACGATAGCATAGAAGTAAAGCGTCTCTTCGCCAGATCTTTTGAGTAAAGTATTTCATACCTTTCGTTCCGACACCCTCGAACCCAAAGGAATACGCAACTAGCTGCATCGATGACGACGTTAACGGTGCAGGAAGCGAGATGGACTTCTCGTGTAGACTGCTCGTGGAACCGTTCTCGAAAAACGTGATGAAAAACCGCGTCCCGAGAATTAATCTGAACGACGTCGAAATGGGATTTTAAAATCTTTGATAGTTGGTTATCTGTTGCTTAAGCATTCATACTTTCGAGTCGAGAAGATCGAAACGGAAATTGAGAGGTAGGAATCTGTGTTCCAGATCCGGAGAAAGTTAAAGAGTTTAACTTTACATCATCGTGGATACTAAACCATCGGCTGGCGAGGAAATATATCTCGAAGATATATACGTAAAAAAAAAAATTATTTTACTGCTTTATATTACTTCTATCGTGTGAGCTAGTTGTTTCTTCCGCCACCCCGATTAAAGCGTTAACTCGTTAATCTAATTGTGGTCGAAACGGAAGGAAGCTGGCGCAGGTGGTGGAGAAGTAAATCCTCCTCCCCCTCCCCTCAAGGTGAAGAACCTTGTGCGCCAACTTAATGGTGTTACCGACTTTAAAATACGTCCTCTTTGGCCGCCTTTATTCCTTGCCTACCTTTGTAAAAATAGTCGGTCGAAGGGAGGGGGGTAACTTTTAATTTTACGGGTCTGTAATTTAAACCGCAGCTCGGTCTCGGATCACCGGTTTAACGGTTCGGGTCAGCTAATTTTGGGAGCGGAATCTGTCTTTCTATAAGTGACGAAACGTATGCGGATGACGTAGCGGAATATCGAATAAACCGAGGGAGAGGAAGATATTCCTCTTTATCCGTTGCTACGCGCGCTTACCTTTAATAATTGTCAGAGAAAAGGGATCTTAAATCTCTCTCTCTCTTGCACGCACCCATTTCAGGTGCAAATTTCGGGAAGGTTCGTCATGTGTGAAACATACGTTGAAACATTATATTCTGCGCGACGCCCAAGTTATAATCTGGTAGCGAAGTAATGTAACGTTCTCTTAAACCTGTAAACCTGTCGCTGAAACTTTGACGAACTTAGGCAAGGAATGCGAAATACCTTGGCACGCCTCGGCTTGTAATACGTGTTTATTAGATCGAATCGATTATTAATTCGAGTTACGAAAAAACGAGGATTGATTCGGTTATATGGATATATATATTTTCAGTTAAAATCACCAGCGACGGAAGATTAAGACGTATCATTTAAATTTTATGTTTTCCATGTAAATGAAAGTCGGTTAATATCGTCCAATACCATTTCAAACAGCCCTTTAACCTTTAAAGCCCCGAGTTACGCAAATCTTACGTAAAGAGCCCAAGCTGGGTCACCAGGATCCTCCATGGATTTGTCCAAGATTTAGCATTCTCGCTGCTGAAATATTTACAGATACACCGTAATATCGATCGATATTAAACAAACGCAACGAGTTTAACTCATTCGAGCCAAAAATCGGAGAGGATAACGATTCTCGATGGAAATAAAAATTCCGTACAAAACGTTCGTTAAACAATTGTGCGCGAAAGAAAAATTCTCGCGTTTCTTAAAAAAGTTCGGGATACATTCGACAGATAGCCCGAAGATCGATCGATCGAAAGATTGAAAAAGATTGAAAAGAACGTGACGCGACGTATATCGACATCCAAAAAAATATGGTATCGCGGTTAAGTGTCGAGTAGGTCAGAATTGGAAGAACGCAGGTTCTATTAACTCTTTGCGCTCCAACGATGACTCTCAGGCATCACTCGATTCGATGCAGCGGCATATTTATTTATGTTTCTTAAAATGTCGCTTTATAAATAAATTCCTAATCATATAATCTTGTAAAGTGTGGAATAATATACCATCGAATGGTTAGATCCTTTTATCTGAAATTAGACCGTCGATCGAGCTACATTTTCGGCGTTAAGTTTTACAATCGTGGCGATAAAAAATATTATTTTCAAAGTTTTGTAAGCATGGAATGAAATTAGTTGGAGCGAAGATGAGTTTGATTACTCGTTATTGAATAAACAAATTATTTCTATTCCTTGACGATAGGGAGAAGGAAAATAGAGATAGGGTAGTAAAAGAAGATGAAAAATAAAAACGGTAGACGGTGTATGTAAGAGCGCGTTATAACGACATTTCATTTAATAATTACATTATCATTAAAATATCTCACGAAACAACAATATAGACTTTTCAACGTAAAACGTTAAAATATAAAAATACGTTAATTCGCGCTTGAAATCATTTCAAGTTAGCTAAGAAAATCAAGGAATCGTGAAGAACGAGAAAGGCCTCGAGCGCAAAGCGGTTAACAGCGGAGGACGGTACGTCACACAAAACGGGGCACACGCCGGGGAAAGTTGGGGGCGCGATACGCGGTTGTCGTCGGGGGATCTGTCTGATTAGTGGGGGCGGCTTATTCGGTTGATTTATCTTGGCGAAAGTGTGGCGAAAGCGCAAGTTGACGGAAAGTATAGAGAGATCCGGTGGACAGGTGGAACTGGTCGAGGACTCTCGGATGCAGATATCAAACCCCCGCGCCTGTAAATCTGCCAGAGGGGCCGGTGTGAAACGGCGGCCGGTCGGATTAGGAGAGGCAGAGGTGGAGAGGGCTGGCCGACCAGCGGCCAGTCGGAAGCGTGCCATGAACTATTGCATTTGATATCCAACCCGATGAATGGAAACGGTGAAGCCGTATCCACGCTTGGCGCCATCTCTGCCCACCCAATGTACGCGAATGCACGTATAATACCCCTCCCTTGGCTTCCGCCAACTATGATAACCAAGTATTTACGGCTTCTCTTGCGAATTTCTGTAATTTACAACCGGCCAGGTCCTATGCGTCACTTGCTACTTTTAACGGTATGGATAACCGATCTTTACCGCTCCTTGGTTAATTGGCCTCACACACTTTGGCCTTTTATCGAAATTTCAACGATCGAAAATAACGGCTAATTTGTTTTATATATATATATATATACCTCGGTGTAATTGGCGGATCCTTGGATTTTCAAATTTAATTTCTTCGAGTTTAAATAATACGATTGGTTTAAATATTTTATTCCTTGATAGATCCTTAAATATTTTAATCCTTAATAGAATGTGCTTGAAATAGTAATTCGTATCGGTGAAGCCGATTTTAAAGCTTGTTTAAAATTTTAAAAATTTCCCGCGCGACGATGCACGTTTATACACGCGGATGATGCAAAGTTGCGCGCGTCGAGCCAACTTGAAAATTCGTATCCCCTTCACCCTCCCCTCCCCCCTCCCCCCTCTTCCCGTATCGCATCTAACATCGTATTTATCATTAGCGGAGGAAGCGATACCGGTATCAATAGCGGCAATGCTACATATGTCGGCTCGTCGAGTATTACCATGGATCGTGTATTGTAATCGTGAATGAAATCGATATCTATTTGGCACTTCCAGGCCAATTTCGGCATGTATCAATTATATGCACAATGAAATATAATACCGCTATCTGTCGCGATACTCCTTCCCCTCTATTGTCGGGAATACGCGAGTGGATAATCATTAACCCATTCCAGGTTCCACTGGTTGAAAAATTGAATTTCGAGTTGAGAATAATAAAGAAGCTTGCCACCATGATCATTCGAGATGGCAAAAAGCGAGCAGGGATGCCAAATGCCAAAGTCTACTCTAAAAATTGCTAGAACTGGGTATTTCAAGTTAGGAATAACCAGTCGCTATTGATCATTGGTCGAAAAAAAAAGTAACTTGCACCACCAAACTTGCATCATTCAAGATGCCAAAAAATCGGGGGATCTACTCTGAAAATTACCAGAACCAGAAAACCTCGAATGATAAATGTTTTACCCATCAAAAACAGCAATTTCCATTATCCTTCTCCTTTGAAGTTGGATGCACGAGAATGAAAATATTTGCCAGCCCCCTCCCCCCAATAGTAGAGCGGGCGTGCACGTAAGCATGGAAAATACGTGATCACACGGTGGTAATCGTGGCACAAAGGAAAGGTAGAGCCGGAAATATATCCACGGTTGCTCATGATTCACGCAGACACACTATAGGATACGACTTTAATACTGCCTGCTCCACTCCTTCTCTCATTGTATAAATAGTACACTTCTCTTCCCTTTTCTTTTCTTTCTCTTTTTTCCTTCTCCTCCTCTCTTTCTTCGTTTTGTTTTTTCCTTTTTTCTTTTTTCAACGAGCGGATCACATTTTCCTAACAGGTTGATTTATCGCGAGCCAACGGCTAAAGCTTTCGTTGGTTGTGGTTTGAGGGAGGGGGAATGGTGCATGCGCACGCGCACTACACCTCTTCTCTCTCTCTCTCTCTCTCTCTCTCTCGCTCTTGTTTTTCCTCGCCGGCCGAAGCGAAGCCGGGAACAAGGAGACTTGTTCACTTTTCCTTTTACACCCGCCACTTTTTTCCACGTGGTTAGACCGCAACGAGAGAGCGCAGCAAGCTCGTTTCGATCGGCAGGTGTCCTTTCTTTTCCAAAAAATTGGCGGAAATCGGAAGAAACTATCTCTGTAATCATTCGAAATTAGAAATTGGGAAGAGAGTGATAGTACATGAGAAACGAGAAGAGTCTTTTCAATTTTGTTGCAGGTGGCATGGCTGCGCGTGGACACTCAAACGATATTGACGATAGCCAGCCACGTGATCACGAAGAACCATCGAATAGCGGTTTCTCACAGCGATCACCGAACGTGGTTCCTCCACATACGAGAGGTGAAGGAATCCGACAGAGGATGGTACATGTGCCAGATTAATACGGATCCGATGAAGAGTCAAACCGGATATCTCGAGGTTGTCGGTAAGCTCAATTCCCTCTGCTCGAATCGAATTTCTTTTCTCGTATCATTATATAATTTCCCTCCCGGTAAACGCGTGACTCGAAGGCACGAGATGAAAAAATCAATTTTATTTCTTACAATAAACTCCTTTCGATTCCGTTTGTTATTCACTCGTTCGGAGAATTCAATTGAGAGAAAGGGAAGGAGACGAATATCTCGTTCGTCTTTTATGCTATTTCTTACTATCCACTTTTTCATAACTCGAAAACTTTTCGAGTCAACAATCATAGAAGGAAAATGGAGCAATGCACGCGCGAACAATAGGAGGAATTAATTAACGCTGTGTACTATTCGTTAAAGTGCCAAGTTTATCGAGGAAATTGCGGCTCGTTTGTTCACTCTCCCGGATGAGCTTCTAATATGGAGCCGTGTATCGATTAGCAGATCGAAAGGAGGAGAGGAGCGTGGCGTACCGGTGCACTTATCAGTAGTATCCGGAGCGGCTATTATAACGATTATGTCACGTGAACGTTGGCGAGCGATATGCGGATGTAATTCGCAATATCTTAATCAAGTCTGACAAGCCGTGAGAATCTGATCCCGTATCCAACCCTCCATTATCTCCTCCATCTCTTTACACGGGAGAAGATGATTTGTCGCCTCCCTCGCCTCCTTCGCCTCCATCCAACGCGCCTCGACTCGAATTTCACGTTCGCATATTTTTTTTATTTTTTTCCTCTTCCTTTTTTTTTTTTTCTTTTTTAAATCGCGCGTTAATTCTCAAACAATTTCCTCCTCAACGGACGATCCATCCCTCCTTGCGTAACCTGTTGCACTCGATGTCAGATTTTTCATTCGTTTTTTATACGTTATTGGAAATTTCATTCGCAAAGGGGGAGGGAGGAGGAGGGATAAATTATTCAGAAGGATTCCAATTGGAAATCCCGTGTCTTTCCAACCTCAGCTCGTGATGATGCATATTTCAAAACTATTGAACATTTATATCTAAAGGAGAGACATAGAAGAGGCATAGGACACAGATTAAAAATTTATTTCCAATCTTGAAAGCTTATAGCCAAAGCTTTTAAATTACAATGCGTGCAAGTTCAATTTTCGATGATAAAACAAACATATCAACATATCTATAGTATATATCTATAGATCGACGATGAACGAATCAGATTAGGTTTAAACGAGCATCGCGTTAATCCTGTAATCGCAATAACCGGGTGCTCGTCGTGAAAGATCGCGGGGCTTCGTTTAAATTCGTACGTAAACCTCCCGCGCCGTCTACTTAATTTGCCAGGCATTAACCTTATTATTATGGGGCAATATAGTGGCGAGTTTGCGAGAAAACGTTGTGCAGGGGTAGGTTGCACGCGAGCAATCTTTACAGCCCTTCTCGGAAATGAAACCTCGTGTATGCCCTTTCACCGCCCCACGTCGCGTTTCATTCTTTTAATTCCCTTAACCCTCGTGCCAGTCCACCCGTCCTCCCGTCCTGTTCCATTTTTACCTCGCCAACCCCCTAGGAATCGACCGATTTCGATTAGCTAAAAAGTTTCGAAACTTGTCTCGATCCGGGGAAAAGTGCGAAATTACAGCCGATTTTTTGTTTATAATACATACACACACGAGATATGATCGGAAAGAAGAAGAATTAATTAGTTTAGCAAGAGATCGAGTAATATTTGAGATTTGACACGGTTCGGTATGATGGTTGAATTTAGAATTTTTTGAATTTTCTTTTTCTTTTTTTATCGGGTTCAGGTTATAACGTCTTCTTTTTCTACCTGACGATAAGTGTTATTAAAATTTTAATAATTAAACCCATTCTAGCTGGAAATTATTTTTAGGTAATAATAATTTTTCGAGCTGCTTAAAATTTCCGCTGATAATTAAATTGGCCATTTTATTACAATTTAATACGATTACTCGTTATTAAAAAGTTTCTCTCGGTTATAATTAAATATATATATTTTTAAGGGAGTTTAATTTAATCATTCGTGAAAATATATATCGCGTACGTATTATTATTATTATTATTATTATTATTCCCTTATTCCTACGTATTTATCTTGGTCCTTCATTTTAATCGATTCAAACGTTTCGTCTTCTTGTTATTTTGTTATTCCTTCGTCCTTTTAAAACAATAGCTGTGGGAGAAATTGTTCGATCATTCATTTTCTTTTCCGCAACGAACTCGTTGGAAATAAATTCTAATGCTGAGAGTCGTAAATATTGATAGAACTGCTTTTCCATCGCGAAGATTCGAGCACGAATTCATGCGTTGTACGAGGGATCCGTGAGCGAGGACACAGTGTCAACCCACCTCGTAAGCGGAACTTCGATAGGATCCAATAATTGGAAACGTGAAAACATTTTCTGCCGAGTCATCGAATTATCGACGTTCCCTCCGTAGACGCACTTTAATTAAACGCGATTAAGTTAAATCTGCCGGCATAGGCACACGGTTCCGTCTCTCGTTATAATCGGTCGAATTAAAGAATTATAGGATAAACCCTTTCTATCGATACCCTTTTCTTCGATCATTTCCTTTCTCGTGATTTTCATGAAATTTTTCACCGATCCACTCGATTCTCCAAGTCGATACGGAGAATCCATTTTAACAAGTCATTTTTCTAGGACTCGTCTTGGAAATTTATTGGAAAATTTTCCAATGATGAAACAAGTATTGTTCGTTACTTCTTATCGGTTCTTAAAAGTTGGAAGAGCGCCTCTTTTAGATTCCATCGATCGTACAAAAATGTGCTCACACTTTCCAATAAATAAATAAGGGATGTCTCGACACATCACTCAACAATGCACAGGTTGTACGTGAAATTATTTAAATTCTAATTGTCTCGTTTAAACGACTTCTCGGGCGAAGGAATTTTAAACTCGACCCCCTCGAATAATTCGAACGGGATCAGCTTCGAGGCGATTCACACGTCTGTTCAAAATTTAGAAATCGATTTATCAGCGGGGGAGGGGTCGAATTTCGACATTCTGTACCGCGATATTTGAAAAGATATTAATACGAACGTCGATCAATTCTTGAAAATCATAAACATATTTTGCTCGGGCAGCAAAATTGAATTCAATCGCTCGATAATTTGATGGAGATCAATCGAGATTTCTCCCCGTTTATTTAAAAGATAACGCGACACCGCGTTATTTCAGATTTTCTATCCGACTCCCTCGATGTTGCCTCGTCGTTTCGTCGCGCGTTTCTACGACCGTTTTAAAATGATTTCAAAAAAAGCACGGGAACTAGGATAAAATTAATACGAGAGAGAGAGAGCGATGAACACGTATACATGTATACATCGTAGCATGTACATAGAATCGATATTTATACAATTCTATTCACGCGTTGACGTAAAAATAATTTTTATCATAAACAGAAAATTCCAACGTGAAATTTATTGTAACGCGAATAACGGGAGGAGCAATATATACCGGTATAATATTTTTTACCTCCTTTTCTCCCTCCCCTCCCAATTTTCGTAGTAAAACGGGAGAATTATGGGGGGGAGAAAAAGAAAAAAATAACCTTGGAAACAAAAGCGAAAGAAAGGTTTTTTTCGAAATAAACACGTGAACGTGCACGACGAAAATAAAATAATTACTTTGACACGTGTTACAATCCCTTCTTTTTTCTTTTTTCTCTCTTTTTTTTTTACACGCGAAAAACAAAAAAGAAAAAAAACAAGCAAATTTATCAAAGTGCGCGAATTAAATGACAAAAACCGATCGGGGACGAGGTAAAATTTTTTCCGGGTATCGAAATATTTGTTGAAAAAATAAATAAATAAATAAATAAAATAAACACGAGTGTTAAAGCGTTTCTCGATCGTTTGGAGCAACTTAAAAAGAGAGAGAGAGAGAGAGAGAGAAAAGAACGATCGGAAAACCGAGAACCAATCCCGTTTCAACCGAAAACCGATTTTCTCCCCGTTAATGTAAATGACTTACTCTCCCCCTCCTGCCCCCCTCCGTTCATTGCGTGTAATGAGTTGCAACCGAACGTTACGAATGTGGTTTTAACCGCCGCTCAGGGGGCATTTAAATTGAACTTTCCCCTGGAAATGGACGCGACGAGACACGTCCACTCGCTCCCTTCGGATCGCTGGCCTAAATTTCTATCACTTCCACCACCTTGCCATTCGACCGCCAATTTTTCAACTCTTTCCAAGATTGATTTGACGTTAATCACAAGCAATTTTTATTTGTGCGTATGTATATATATGACGAGAACATCTTCGAGAGAAACGAATTCCTCGAATCGGCGATGAATCAAATCGAATGTTTGTTAATGAAGCGGTTTGTTCGGGGGGCATCTTATGCAAATTGGAGAGTCGGTTGTACACGTTTTTTTTCCCCCCTCGGCCGAGAATGAAGTATGCGCGGTTATCTTCCATTTGGCGCGATGAAATGTACAGTTATTTTTCGGACAATCAAGGAGGAAATCGAGGGAAAAGGGATCTTTTGATTTGCGAATGTTAACGCGTTTCCCTTCTATCATCAGGCGGGTTTAGGTGGATTAAGAAGAGGAAGAAGAAGGAAAGAAGGTTCGCGTTTACGGATCTCGAGAAAGGGAAGGAATTTTCGATTCGCCCGGCATTGTGAAGGGGAGATTAATTATGCCGGTATTATTAGCAAGTCGAGTAATTAAACTCGGTATTATTCACGTACACCCAACTAATATCGATCCGTTTTGTTTCGTGATGAAACGAGACGAACACGTGTTGATAAAATTTCTTCCGTCGGATCAACGAAATCGATCAACATTCTGTGAATAAATTTCGAAAAAATCTAACCGTCAAAACGAAACCATCCCCATCAATGTATAATTATTCGATATATTAGTAATCAAAGTTGCAAAGTTCGAAACTGGACCGAAACTCTCCCGTTAATTACTCTCAAATTGCAACCGCTCCGCGCAGTTCGAAATTTTCGAACCTTGTTCGACTATTATTTTGCGCATTGCATATTGCGCATTCCTCTGAAGAACAAA